AAAAAAAAAAACGGCATTCATGCACTGAGTAAAGAGTTTATATAAACATAAGTTTATATTATTTGTATGCTCAAAATGCATTTGTGATGGTATTTGATTTAAATCACACCATATATCATGCTCACATGTCTGGCCACTGACATCAAACCTGGTGTGCAACGTCATGATGCGGCATATTTGAATTTAAATGATATTTGAGAGCTACACCAGAGGTGTTCAGCAAAATTCTGTCCATTCCTCACAACAAACAATCATATGAATTCAGAAGACTTGAAATATACAATGCCGTTCCATCAAAAGTTGAGGTCAGTAGGATTTTTTTTCAAGAAATTAATACTTTTATTTAGCAAGGATGCATTAAATCGTTTAAAAGTAATCTTAAAGAATTTTATATTGTTACAAAAGATTTCTATTTCAAATAAATGCTGTTCTTTAAAACGTTCTACTTAACAAAGAATCCTGAAAAAAAATGTATCATGGTTTCCACAAAAGTATTAAGCAGATCAACTGTTTTAAACTTTGATAATCATAAGAAATGTTTCTTGCACATCACATCAACATATTAAAGTGATTTCTGAAGCATAATGTGACACTACAAAAAATCAGCTTTGTCCTCAAATAAATAAATTACATTTTAATATATATTAAAATAGAAAACAATTAAAATAAAATAAAATAAAAGTACCACTTTTAGGGTGCTTTTTTGCCATGTTTAGAACTTGACAGTTTCTGTTTCTATCATTAAAAAAGTATGGAGATTCTACAAAATATGTTTCTTTGTGATCCAAGATCACAAATGGGTTTGCTTTGACAGTAAATGACAGAATTTTTCATTTTTGGGTGAACTAACCCTCCAAGCATTGTAATTAAATTAGTGCTGTCAAACGATTAATCGCGATTAAAAACAAACATTTTTGTTTACAAAATATATGTATGTGCACTGTGTTTGTTTATTATGTATATATAAATACACACACATTTAGTATATATTTTGAAAATATTTACATGTATATACATTTATATACTTATATTATTATATTTTATATTATCTATAAATATATTTAATATATAAACATAACATATTTTTCTTAAATATATACATGTATGTGTTTGTATTTATATATACATAATAAATATACACAGTACACACTCATATATTATGTAAACAAAAACTTTTATTTTGGATGCGATTAATCGCGATTAATCGTTTGACAGCACTAAATTAAATCAATAACACCGACACGTAGAAAGATGCAAATGGACAAAAACTGATTTTCTCTAAGTGCTGTCCCACTTACCTGGCGATGATCTTGTTCTGAAGCGGCAGTAGGAAATCATAAGCAGACAGCTTGTTGGCAGAGCAGCTTCCTGGTGTCGCCCCTTGAAGTGTGAGAATGACAAGTCGCACGACGTGACCGGACGGCACCCGAAGCCTCCACTGGTAATACGGCTTCTTCGGACTGACAAGACTGAGTGTGCGATTGTTTCCATACTTAGCGTACAGGTCAAAAGACATGGCTGTTAGGCAGATGAGAGTAAGACATGATCAAAATGAGTAAATAAATCAAGAATACAACCAAAATAATGATTGTAGAGGAATTTTCATGACAGAATGATAGTATGATAGTGATAGTACACTGTAAAACCTGCCTGGTGGAAGGACTTGCATGCAGAGTTTACTCAGAGGATTAATGGGACATGGTTGCATTTGAACTGCCTTACCTATGCATGGTTTACTTGTGTTTTTCTTCACTCATGGCACGATGTATCATGGAGGATACAGAAGAGCTTAGTTTAACCAACGTTTGGCAACTCAAATGAGTCAGTGTTCATAAATCATGTGAGTAAACTCAGCAGGCTTTACAGTGTATTATGGTTGTACCCTGAAGCCCCAACTGCCACTTGCCACTCTGTAAAGAGTTTGGGTTCTTTATTTTTTCCGCTTTGTCATCAGAATCTTCATCGTCTTCATCCTCGGCATCACCACCGTTATCTGCATTCAAACCTGCAGACACAGGAACATACGTTAAGATGTTTTCATTACTTTGCAAAAGACAAAGACAGAGGGATGAAATGCTCTTAACCCAGCAGACGCAGTGTGTCCTCGTCCCTCTCCATGTAGTAGCGTTCCTCGTTTCTGCTAAAAAGGACCTTGTTGGTTCCAGGTAGACGCCGTTGCAACCGGGATGAGTTCACTCTCCGGAGTTCCTCAGCAATAGCGGGAGGAGCAGAGAATTTACTCCAGTAGTACACACAAAGACCTTCCACTCCTTCACTGTCATCAGGACACATGACTTTTAACAAGATGGCTTTATAGGCTTTGGATTTAAATCAAGTGGGGGAATGCATATATTAACAGGTGCCAAATGCATGACATAGAAACCCACAAATAATGATGCTGTGTAAATGACTACTAAGTTTGTGCAGTTGCAATGAGGCATCACACCTACACTACTGTTCAAAGGTTTGGGGTGTTTTTAAATGTTTTTCAAAGAAGTCTCTTATGCTCACCAAAGAGGCATTTATTTACATTTAGATGCAAAAATACAGTAAAACAGTAATATTAATAACAGTAATATTAGTAATAACTGTTTATATAATATATTTTCAAATGTAGCCTAATTTATTCATGTGATGCAAAGCTGAATTTTCAGCAGCCATTACTCCAGTCTTCAGTGTCACATTTGAAACTTTTGTAACATTAATAAATGTATTCATTTATTTAAAAAAAAAAAAATCTTACTGATCCCAAATTTTGTACATGAAAGCTTATTAGGTGCACGTTTAAACAGGATCAGGTGGAATAATGCCTGATCAGGTCATCCTAACAACACCTTCATTCAAAGCTACAAGAAAAAACACACACTTAGCATTCTGTACATTTCATATAGCATTGAATGGCACCAGATCAGAGAATAAAGGCTATTGGTATTCTGTGCCATCACTGACAGACTACAGAGAAACCAGCGCACTGAGTACAGCAGACGACCTCGAGTGATCACATTAGAGCAGGACTGGCTGTTAAGAAAAGTAAAACACATTACATTTACTACTTGTACTACTTGAACAACAGCTATGACTATAAGACAAAGTGCTGAACATACTGCAAGACAATTTCAGTGTTGTTGGTAACTAAAACTACAACTAAAATAATAAAAATAGTTTCTGTTAGTTGAAATAAATCTGATATGAAACAAAATATACACATTAGATGAAAAATTTAAATGTTACTTTGGCAACTATAAATGCTAATTTAAAACATTAATGCATACTATAATAGTATATAAATAAGGTAACACTTTATTTTAAGGTGTCCTTATTACACGTTACATGTCCTTACTATTATAATAACAATTAATTATACATAATTACATGCAAGTAACCCTAAGCCAAACCCTAAGCCTAACTCTAACCATATAGTAAGTACATGTAGTTAATCAATATTACGCACTACTTAAATGTATAATTACACTGTAACAAGGACACCTTAAAATAAAGTGTAACCATAAATACTACTAAAATAACACTGGACTATTGTGGTCAATGTTCAAAGTGGTGTCACAGTTTAAAATGTCCTTACTATCTGACTAATATCACTGCAACAGAACAGATGTCCTGAGAAATCACAACTGTCAGTGCAAAACAGCAATAAATAAATAAATAAAAAATAGAGATGTAGGCACTTTTTAGCCAATCAGAAGCCATTTTGTGTGCTTGCACATAAACGCAATGGATTTAAAAAAAGGCTTATTTTGATGTAGTTTATAAACATACTGTGATATTTGTGTTCATGTACAGACTCACCTAAATGCAATAATTCCTGAGTGCTGGTAATACGTGCTCCATGGTGAAGAATCATACAACTCTGAGAACTTAGATCCACGGCACATCAACCAAAAGGAAGTAAAGAGATGATAAAAAAATTACCATGACAAACATCAGCCGCTATTCTTTTTCCGGTCCCACTTTATATTAGATGGCCTTAACTGCTATGTACTTACATAAAAAAATAAGTACAATGTACTTACTGTGTTCATATGTGACCCTGGACCACAAAACCTGGGTCCGGGTCACATATGGGTCAATTTCTCGAAATTGATATTTATACATCATCTGAAAGCTGAATAAATAGCTTTCCATTGATGTATGGTTTGTTATGATAGGACAATATTTGGCCGAGATGCAACTATTTGAAAATCTGGAATCTGAGGGTGTAAAAAAAATCAAAATATTGAGAAAATCGCCTTTAAAGTTGTCCAAATGAAGTTCTTAGCAATGCATATTACTAGTCAAAAATTAAGTTTTGATATATTTACGGTAGGAAATTTACAAAATATCTTCATGGAACATGATCTTTACTTAATATCCTAATCATTTTTGGCATAAAAGAAAAATCGATAATTTTGACCCATACAATGTTATTTTGGCAATTGCTAAAAATATACCCCAGCGACTTAAGACTGGTTTTGTGGTCCAGGGTCACATATTATATTGAAAAACACTTTTGCTGCTATTGAGGTGGGATACGGGTAAGGTTAGGGACAGGTTTGGTGGTATGGGTAGGTTTAAGGGTGGGTTAAAGTGTAAGGGATGGGTCAACAGTGTAACTATAAATGTACAGTAATTACAGAAATTAATTACAGATGTAATTACATGCAGGTATTTTTGAAAATATAATTACAATGTAAAAGCATGTATGTATAAGTGCATTGTATCAAATGATTAATTAAAATGTAAGTACATCGTAGTTAAGGCCACCTAATATAAAGTGGGATCCTTTTTCCATTCTCAAACTATTCTGAAAGCTGTAAACAAACCACTGATAACATCTACCAAGGTCATGAAGTTTCCGCCTGGTATAAACAGTATTTTGAGACATCTCAGTGACATCAGAGCTACGGAAGGCGTGACATCATTGAAGAAGGTGAGACATCAGTGGTCCAGGCGAGACCTGCAGCCTTGGCACAAAAGCGCTGTTCTTGTGCGATTGGCTTTGAGCAACAAGAGCTTTGGGCAACAAAAGTGCCATTGTCCAGGGCTCAATGTCATCCCGAAGCGCTGGATGGAAGGGGCGGGCGGCTGGTTTAGAACTAGTTTTATGAGCAAGAGTGCACACTTGCAGGCCGTCAGTTCTCACAATTGCATTCGCTCGATATTAAACGGGATTACAGCCACGACACAGGTTACGTTTAGCCTAATTAGAGCATCGCGCCAGATGGGAAGCCACACTTGGCCGGCTTCCTCATCGGCCTCTATTAATCTCACGCCTAATGCAGACACAAATGCCAACCATTCCCATGATACTGGCTTTTTTGGCCCAGACTTTCCTACGCTCTCTTTCGGTGCCCTAAATCCTTACTTTCTCTCTCTCTCCTGGCCTACTCTGTCCCCTGGTCTACCTTTCTTTTCTCTGCTGGCTGCAGCCTCTCAGCAAAGAGGTACAGAGCATCTGATTGTGTGAGAGGAAGGCCACAGACAATGTTTTTATTGAAGGACTGCTCTTCCTCTCACTCAGCCTACCTGGGCCCTGTCCCTCTCACAAACACCGTTCTTGTCCTCGGCCCTGAAAAGCCGCCGTCCTCTGGGAGCCGGTCTCACCGCGCCGCCTCACACCAAGCTGGGCTCCGGTTACAGCTGGCTTTACATTTAAGAGGGCCACAGAGCGGCCGAAGACTCAGCAGAGCCTGCTTTACATTTAAAAGGGTGACAATGAGGGACGAGCGCACCACTGGACTTGCAGCTCTGGCGGACTATGGGTTTGAAAGTGCCAGGGCCGAGCATCGTTCCTTGAGTGCTCTCTGGAGAGCGGCCACATTCCGGAGAGATCACGGAGAAACCGGCTTTGTTGCAGAGGGCGGCACAGAGAGACTGTTATGTATGTTTATGCTTACATAATGGCTTAGCGCCTGAGACTGGAGGCGGAACTGTGTAGACGAGGGGTCTGCCAGGTCTGGAGAGAAGCTGAGGTTGGAGAACTCGATGCTTCCTCCAAGGTAGAACACTGAGAGCGATGGAGAGGCTGCAGGAACAGGAACACTTATATGAAGAGATGATACATTCAGAGATAACACAAAACATTTTAAAATGCTTTAAAAAGTTTAAATGTTGATGAAAATTATCTGTACTGTTGGATTATATAACAAAATATCAAATCAAGTGCCGTTTATTTTAAAGACAGAAGCACACAGATACTTTCAAGCAAAATATTTCACAAAAAAAGTTGTGAAACACTAAAATAGGCTGTCACGCAATTAATCATGATTAATCATGTCCAAAATAAAAGTTTGTGTTTACATAATATATGTGTGTGTACTGTGTATATTTATTATGCATATATAAATACACACACATACATGTATATATATATACAGTGGGTACGGAAAGTATTCAGGCCCCCTTACATTATATATAATTACAACATAGAAAATATATACAACATTTTTTTAAATATATACATGGATAACATGCATGTGTATGTATTTATATATACATAAATATACACAGTACACACAAATATATTATGTAAACACAAACTTTTGTTTTGGATTAATCGTGAGTAAATCGTTTGACAGCCCTAAAAATAATACATACACTACAAATATTTTGGGGGTCAGTAAAGTCTTTTTTAGAATTAATATTAATATTTTTTTCAGAAAGGATGCATTAAATGCATTAAATTGATCAGAAGTGACAAGACATTTCTAATGTTACAAAATATTTCTTTTTCAAATAAATGCTGTTCTTTTTAACTTTCTGCTTGTCAAAGAATCATAAAAAAAAATGTATTCACCGTTTCAACAAAAACTATTAAGCAGCACAACTGTTTTCAACATTGATAACGGTAATAAGAAATCACCAAAATCAGCATATTAGAATGATTTCTGAAGGATCATGTGACACTAAAGTAAAGACTGGAGAATGGCTGCTAAAAATTCAACATTGCCATCACAGGAATAAATTACATTTTAAAATATATTTCAGTAAAAAACAGTTAATTTAATTTGTACTAATATTTCACAATATTACTGTTTTCACTGTATTTTTGGGGATCACATATATCACATGTATTTAAAAACATATCTAGCAGCTCAGTGTATATGCGTAGCCTATCAAACAAAACAGGAAAATTTTCAAGCTCCCCTTGAAGAATCTCCTTGGACGGCCAAGGATGAGAGGCTTGACTAGCTATACTGGAACATACCAGATCATAATCGCAGCATTCCTCTACAGCACAGGGTCTTAACTTACATGCAAGGAAATGGAGAGTCAGTGCAATGGCAGCCGAGAGAGGGAGGAGGGGGGAGGTTCTCAGTGCCCACTTACTCCATGCCCTGCAATTCGCTCTCTTGCCTGCCGGGCTCTTGATGCTAGATGGACTTGACCTCTGGGTGGGTTTCGTCAGAAAGTCCTCCTAAACACAAGTCGAGAAACTTTGCCTTAACATCACTTGTTGAGACAGCATAGGCCTACTACTCGTAGTCATGATCACTATCGCAACCTTTCTGTCACCCTACAACACCCTATGTGTCGTATTTGATTGGCTTCCTGCCGCATCATTCTAAACATCTTTTCATTAGGAGGAAGGGGTCGCGGAACTAGGATATCCTGGTGGGATTCCCCTGTGGAGTCGCACAAATCCTAATTTGAGGGTCTGCTTTCCCACGGCCCCTCTCAGCGGTGTCAGCACTCCATCTTTGACAAGCACATTCATGAGACTATCAAGACCAACGTTTAGACACAGGCAACCCGGTGATTAAAATAAAATTTTCAATTCATTAACACAGCTGAAATGAGCTTAAAATACCTTTTGTAAATTTGTATGGGAGAGAGTGAGGAGTGTTATAACACGAAGTGAGTTGTAACACGTCAGTTTAACCAATTAGAAACTGGAAACTCTTAAAAATAAAGATTCCAAAAGGGGTTTTCACAGTGATTCCATTGAAGAACCATTTTTGGTTCCCCATAGAACTTTTCAGTGAATAGCTTTTTTTCTTAGTGTGAACCATTTTTTTCTTAGTGTAAAGAACATTGTAAAAATCTAAAGAAACTTCCACTATAAAGAACCTTTTGAAGAATGGAAAGGGTCAATAGAAATGGTTAAATGTTCTTCATGGAACCATAGATGCATATGACCACCATGTGAAGGCAATTTTGAAAAAGTATAATTTCATATATAATCCGAGTCAGCATGTTCTTTTGTATATGTAACATCCATGCAAGCTTGTTAAAAAACAAAACTAATAAACTTGTACTTGTATTGCACCCACAAAGATTTGCACAGAATATAGACCTGCATTTGCACCAACTGTGAGTGACTAACTTACAATTAGATATGATTTGTGTATTTCTAAATATATTTCTATTTGCTTTAAGATAAAATGTGTTCTTTTTTCATTTGATTTTAATCAAACTAAATAACATTTTCCCGTATTTATCAGCTACAAATTAAAATACATTAATTAATACTATTCCTGTATTTATCTGCTACGAATTAATGTACTTTAAAACGGGAATAATATATCAAAGTTTGAGACTAAAAACAGATATAGGCTACATACATACGTTTGAACAATGTTTCCCTCACACAATAGAATGAATCATATTTTATAAGTAAGAATAAATCCATTGTAATCAATTGTAATGAAAATAAGACGCCAAAGGTACCCAGAAGCATCATGACAGTGTTGAATTCGCTCTAGTCGCTGTGTCTGTGCCTGCGGTGCTGATGGAGGGTCTCTTACCTGTGCAGGTGCACCGGCGGGGGCGCAGGCTCCCAAACCAGAGACGCTGTAAACTTCGCAGCTTCTGTTTTTGGGAAAAGTCCTCATGGCCCGCTCTCGTATGGCTCCGATGCAGCGATACAGAACAATACCTCGGGCAGAGAAATCAGCCCGCAGACGTAGTGCGATCCCGGAGAAACCCGACCTGAGCGGGTCTGGCGCTGCGAGCATTCACTCTCCGTGTCCCTCCGTGAACAGGTGCTGCACGGCACCCAGCATGCACCGCGGCACAAAGGGAGCACTATGAGCAGGTACAATCCACATAGCCATCCGTGCGACAGAAATTGTGGGCAAACTTCTCCCGTGGTGTGCGTGTGCCATGGGCCACAATGGGCAGTCTGATGTTACATGATTAAAGCGTCATTACATTAATCGCGGAGAAGAATGTATCGTTACAGCGGTCCGTCTGCTGGGGATGAAAAGCATCAGCGCATAGCTAAAATATTTGTTTAAGAGGAGTCGGTGTGGATGAAATATCTCCCTGTTGTTTCCCCCGTGTCTCACGTTACGAGCCAGCGAGGCGTGCAGCCTGAGAGCAAAGTGGACTCAATATATCCCCGTGTGCTGCACACTGTATTGATTACTAACTATTCCTAGGCCAAACTGGGACATTTTCCTTCTTATGAGAGTATTTACTGTATGTGTTGTCATTCTCGATGTGGATGGGGGTGCTTTTATTTTAAAATCTCAATATTATTATGGCCATGTGGTGCTCGTGCATATATAAACGAATAGTGTAGCCTATTTGAGACAAATTAATGAATGAATAGGACAGTTGGACCTGAAATAGGCTACTTCTAGGAACAAAACGAACACTGTAAAAACAATATTAAAGCACTACTTACACTATTGTTAATAATCATTAATACATATTTTATGATATTTATTAATATTGGATAAATAATTAGCATATTTTAGCCACAAAGTAACATGTCTACTTATTGTTTAAGCTCTCTCGCATTCATGGTGCCACCGCCAGTATGTTGCCATGGGCAACGGTGAAACTTCATACAAAATATTTTAACCCACATAAGCTGCTGCAACTGACCTATCTGAGATAAGTATTCCAGAAATTCGTGCAATGAAACTGTTGAATGAATTATTAATAGTTATTATTATATTAATATTATTAACCATGCTGAGAACGCTAAAACTAGACTAAGATGGTTGGCTGGTCTTAGTTGTTTTAAGTTGAAAGTAGCTGGTTATAGTTGGCCTCCCAGCCTGGCTAAGATAGTAAAGATGGCCAGCTAAAAAAAATAAAAATAAAAAAAGTGGTCAAAACTCAAAACCCCTCTAAAACCATCCTGCAAACCAGCTATGACCAGGCTGGAAGACCAGCTAATATATGCCATTTTTAAAATATATAGGTCAATATCACTATAGGGTGCCTTTTGGTGTCCTGTACATAAATAACTCATTTGCCATGATAACTTAACACATTTTTTTAAATAAAAATGTAAAATTAAAGTTTTTATATTCATAACAAAAGCATTACTTGGCTCTTTAGATACATTTTCTAGATTTTTTTTTTGTTTTGTGTAAGAGGATGTGTGTTATTTTGCTATATTTAATTATGTGTTTGAATGATAGTAGAATATTGTCAAATCATAAAATTAAAAAAATTTGTTCTCCTATTAATATTTAGTTAAATAAGAGATTACTCAATTTGAGTGTATTGATCATTTGGTAATAAAAACAATATTTTTATTTAATAAAAAAGAAGAGTTTGTCCATGTCCCTTGAATGGTTTCTTTAAGAAAAGGTCATCCCCTTTAGTGACATCAAGACAACAGATTTTTTGTTTCTTCAGTGGCGGGAATTTCAACAGCTGAGGTGAATAATTTGATTTGTATTAGTTATCTATTTTATTAGTTATCTATTATCTATTTTGTAGTAATGTTGTCATTTTATTAGTTTTTATGTCTATATAGGCTTTTTATTAAGTTTTAGTTGTATTTAATTTGAGTTATTTCAGTACTTCAACATACAAAATGGAAATGAAATAATATATATATATATATTGGATGTATTTATATATATGTACATGTATATGTATATGTGTGTGGCTGTACATACACATATGTAGTTGTTTTTTGGTGTTTGGCTTAGTGTTATGCTAGAATCATTATTATACTCATACCTTTTGTTCTTTTTATTTTAAATAATAATTCATTTATATCTATACAATCCAGTGTGTTCAATAGCTAGGTGTGGGGGCAATAACATGCAAAAAAAAAAAAACGCATCCAATTATCACAGTTTTCTCCAAATAAGAAAAAATACACAAAATTGTATGAGTTTCTTTAAAAACACATGGTTTACATAAAATCTTTTATGTATTTGACCCATATAATAATTTATATAATTTAAAAAGGTTTAATATGTATATAATATATAGGCTAGTATAAATGTTAACTTGTTTTTTTTATTTGGCAGGAATTATTTGTAATTGCTGAAAAAAAGACTACAAGTAATGTATTATTCAAGACAAATGTATTATAATGGTGTTACATGATTGACAGACTGAAGTAACACATTCAGCCTATTTGCTGTGGAACAGTTGAGATGACAAAGGCTTGTTTTGAGTGTATGAAATACATAATTCATTGTAAGGTGGATTTATTGGCTGTGCATTTCATAAGTTTTGAATATGTCTTTGGATCCAGTCTATGAACTTGGCCACTCTGGTGTAAACTCCGGGAAGGTTGGGTCTGCCACAGCCGGAACCCCAGCTCACAATGCCCGTCAGAAACCAACGGCCACCCGAGTGGGCTTGACAGGACAGAGGACCACCTGAGTCTCCCTGAAATCAAAAATTAGTTATGTAAAAATCCAAAGAGACAGCTCACTTTCATCACGAGAAAGGCTAGTCCTTTAATAATGCTCTGAAATGAGATACTAAGCTTATGTTCGGTTCATAAAGCAGGAACCAGTCCAACGGTTGTTATCTCCCCTCACCCGGCAGGCATCCTGCTCTCCTGAGGGCACACCAGCACACAGCATGCGGGGTGATACAGCACCATAGCTTCTCTTGCATTCACTCTGGCTTATAATGCTAACTTCTGCCTTCTGCAATACAGTGGGAAGAACCTTATCTGTATAAACAGGGAAAAAATACCATTTATATGCCATATATTATAAAAAAAAAAAATGTACTAAGAGACATATAAACAAGAGAAACCGACTCTCTTTTTCTAGTTTGAGTACCTTTTAAAAGTTTGGGTTCTGTAAGAGTTTTTTTTTTTAAAGAAATGAATACTTTTATTCAGCAAGGACAAATCAAAACTGAGAGTAAAGACATTTAGAATTTTACAAAAATTCTAAATGCAAATAAATGCGGTTCTTTTGAACTTTATACTCATCAAAGATTCCTGAAAAAAATATATAATAGTTTCCACAAAAATATTAAGCAGGACAACTGTTATGACAACATTGACAATAAGTCTCTTGAGCAACAAATCAGCATATTAGAATGACTTCTGAAGGATCATGTGACACCGAAGACTGGAGTAATAACTGCTGAAAATTCGGCTTTTTCATCACAGGAATAAATTACATTTTAAAATATATGAAAATAGAAAACCGTTTTTTTAAATGGTAATAATATTTCACAATATTACTGTACTTTTGATCAGATAAATGCAGCCTTGGTAAGCATGAGAGACTTCTTTCAAAAACATTAAAAAATCTTACTGACCCCAAAACTTTAAATGTTACCGTTACATCATTTGTCAATGTTTTTAGCTCTTTACCCTGTTCAGAACGATAGCCCCAGCCGGTGACCCAACAGCGGTGTCCCTCAGTGAATGTCTGTGAAGGGGCCGGCAGACAGATAGGCTGGATATATTGTTCCAGACTGCTGGGCCAGGCCTTCTTCAACTGCACAAGGGCGATGTCATAGTCAAAATTTCTCGCATTGTAGTATTCATGCACAACAAATCGACGGATCTCGGCCACATGCTTGGCATTGCCCTGGTTTAGCATGCCTAGATGAGCCGTCCACATACGTGGATCTGCCAACCTGAAAGCATCAAAAATCACACATGCTCAAACTGCATTAAGTCCAGCTCATTGCTGCTAACAAAAAAGGTATTAAAGTTTGATATTCAGTCATTTATACTGTAGGTCTACCTGACATTTCTCACCTTTCTTTGCTGAAACAGTGCGCTGCTGAAATGAGCCACTCATCAGAGAGGGCCGATGCTCCGCAGTACAGCTGACCAGAAAAATGCATGCTGACCTGCCATGGCCACTCCCCCTCCAGCGCATTGATCCCGCCCACAATACGCTGCTGTGTGGCGGCACTGTCAGATCCACGCTTTGAAGGGGTGGGATTGCCACAGGCTACAAATTATATGGAAACATATCAGACACAAAAAGATTATATACTTTGCATTAGTGTACAAGCATATGTAAGACACAATATGTAACAATGTAAAAATGTGTGACTGATAGTGACTGAAGTGTCAAGAGCAAAAAAACAAACTCCCTGGAATCAAAAATTGGTTATGTAAAAATCCAGAGAGACAGCTCACTTTCATCAACGAGAAAGGCTAGTCCTTTAATAATGCTCTGAAATGAGATACTAAGCTTATGTTCGGTTCATAAAGCAGGAACCAGTCCAAGTATCAAAATTTTCACAATAATATTAAGCAGCAAAAACAACTGTTTTCAACATTAATAAGAACCATTATTAATTACTGAGTATCAATGATAATAGCTAAGCATTTTTAAATAAAAAATTTAAATTATAATTTTAAATAATATTTTAAAATGTAATAATATATAAAAGATTTATTTTTAGCGTTTTTATTAGGATAGGACAGTATATGAGACAGGAAGCGAAGTGCGAGAGAGGGGGTGGGGGCGTGATCGGGAAAGGTCCGTGAGGCGGGACTTGAACTCGGGACACACGAATCGCAACTGCACTATATGTCAGCGAGCTAACCACGAGGCTATATGTGCCAAGAATTATTCCAAACTTTTGACCAGAAGTGTATGTTTGTATGTGCATAAACTGCTCAGTCATGACAGGTGCATCTGATCAGCCAAAGCCATTAAAATCAGAGAGCGTTCAGGAGCTTGACTCCTGTAATCGCCCTCTGATTCAACTCCAACACACACACACACACACCAATTACCAAACACAATTTCAAGTCGACCATTGCAAAAAGGTCAATAGATCATAATAATAGCAGCGATATCATCATGGGAACATGAGGGCTATTTTGGGT